AATTTTTTTGAACAGCTGAGTCAGCAAACTATTCGTACATTTACTTAGAGCGATTTACAGTTGCTTTAATGACACAACTAAATTTTTTTTTAAACTTTTATGGCTACCTCAGAACATTTTAAAAAAGGAAATAGGCGTTAATTGGTATTTGTTACAAGTTTTCATACTCTTGCGATTAAAGAGAATACCTTAAGTTAGAGATCGATCGTAGTTTAATTTAACTATTCTTGATTAACACTAGCACAACCGTCGTGCAGTAAGTCCACGCTTATTGATAATTATAATTTCTCATCTTTCAGATTTTACATTTCGGTACAAGTTCATGTTGAAATGTGTAATATTCATTATAGATCATGCACAATGGTTAATGTCGTTAATTTTGATCGTTTGCGTTCTTACGTATATTATTAAAAACTGACGCTGTAAGATAAGAATTTTTAATAATTGCTCAAAGATTGCACACGTTTTAAATGTTTTGTAAAGGCAGCTCTTAAAAAAAAAAGTAAATTGTAAGTAACGCGATTGCCAAAGCTTTTACATAGCTCAATGCATAAACTCACTAAGCACCTGCTTATTTTTCGTTTACATAGGATGTCACATATTCCATTCTAATAGTGTATAGTATTATACAGTACGTATAAGTTCTACGTACACTGATTAGGTTTTTTACGTATTTTAAAAAATCTATCACCATCGTCTTATCTCTTTTCTTTTCTCATTTTCCTCTTTTGTTTCACAATCGTTAATTGTTTTACTTACAAATATAGGGCAAAAAGTAGTCAGAACAACGAAAACGAGCCATATGTATCTTGAAATGCTGAAAACAAAAATTTTTTAGGCTCAGTGAAAGTTCTTATCGTTAAGTTAGCTGTAAGCTAAACTTTTTCTATGTATTATTAAAACAGGCCTGTGAATTCCCTTTGATTTGATACTTAAATAGGAGGGGGGGGGTTATAAATTTTATAATCCGCCATATTTTACGAACCACTATTTTGGATTTAAAATAATAAAATACACCAATCGTTATCTCACGTATATTTATTGCAAGTTATATCATTATTTTAAATAGTTTATGACAAACGAAACCTAAATATAAAAAGTAATAATGGAAATCATGCATTTTTCCTCATGTCCTGGCCGCCATATTGCTGCCACCATCTCTAATATATCGGAATTATCATAACTAAAACTTTAGGTTAAAGTCAACCTTAAAAAACCATTTTATTAAGTGTTTGATGAAAATTCTAAGTTTTTGGCAAAAATAATGGTTTTCTCACATTTTTGGGCACTTTAGGGGATTTTTTGTGCCCCCCCCCCCCTTCAGGGCCGTATCACGACTTCGGACCAGTTTTCCCTGAATGTACTATTTAAAACCCTCAAAATAAAAAAAAAACCATGAAGATCCGAGTTTTCTGTCCAAAGTTATCTTATTTTGGGAAAAATTTTGCCATTTGGTTCCACTGTGCGCCGTAGACGATACCTCTTTTGAGCATCATAGCTCCGGGGTTTCCGAGCGGCTCGCCGTACCTGTGCACAATAAAGTCCATACACATGCAAGCATAATGTCTGACATATGAAAGTGTAGCTAATATATACCCTATAAGATTAAAAATTCATAAAATCTTCACATTTTAAAAGCTTGAATAAAAGGGGTAACAAGATTATATTATTGAATTCGTTAATAAAGTTCTGGTTACTTGAATCACTGTTAACTTGTCTGAAATTTAAAAGAAAGAGAAAAAAAAACAGTTTTTGATTTAAATCCAAACATCATAAAAAGCATTCTTAATATTATCATTTCCCAGAGTACTCTTTTGTAGCACGAGTCATATCGTTGAGCCAACCATAAAAAATTTTGAGACTCCTTAGGTAGGGATAGCGTTATCACATAATTGGTATTCTTGTATAGTTCGAAGTTTGGTTGATTTATTAAACCACATAAGAAAGAACTTTGTTTTCGAATGTATTCATTATATTATTTAATTTGTGAGAAAACTACTAGACCTAATTGAGTTTAATACAGCTGTTTGGCCTTGGAAACGCGCATCTTAATTTGTACCTAACTTTTTTCGTACAATTATTAATTTTTTTTTTGGCACAAAAAACCTGTCATAGCCTTTTTTAAAGGCTTTTGCTGAACTTTTTAAAAATTATTCTTACGATAAGCTACAATTTTTGAATAAAACTCTTCATTTATTAAATGGATATGTTTACAAACTAATAAGTATGCCAGCAACCTCACCAGCAATTAGTTGACCGCCAAAATATGGTACCCATTCAGAAGATCTGAGTATAGGTTATATTAATTTTTTTGAAAACTTAGTATAGACTTCAGCAGCAAAGTGTATATTGAAAAAGATTTTTTTAAAGTATACATCTAAAAAAAAGGTTGACAAGACAGAATTAATATTATGGAATCGGGTACTACCATTTATGTACTTTACACAAAAAAGTTGAAAGGCCCTTACTCATTGAGTAAATCAGCCGCTCATGAAAATATTGTAAGAAAACTTGTTAGCTCAATTTCTGGACATTCATGTGCAAAACAATTATTAGCAAAAGTAAAAAAATAACGTTTATCCAAAAAAAACCTAGCACTGACTAAATACGAAAATAGAGAGAATTGCTTCAATGCGGACTACATCAGTATTCCTCTAGTTAATATGATAGAATTAGTTTTTTAATCCTAAAAACTCCCACTAGCTAAAAAAAAGGTAATTGCTCAACGTATCATAAAAAATTATTATAGAACTTAAAAAGTAGAAATGTGAGCCAAAGCCCTTTAAAAATAGTGAAATGGCTAAAACATATTTCTCGCGTCTAAAAGAAAATCGAAGAATTGCACGTAAAAAAGATTAAAAATTTTACCACTAACAAAATCAGCTGCGTTGGGTTCAATCTAGTTCAGCCTTTTTTTGCAAATCACAAGTTACATATCATAGTTCTTAACATACACACAAAACTTCATCTGAATAAGGTTCAAACTTTTCGTGAATCACAGCGAAAATCGACAAAACATTCTGTCCATACATGGCTATAGAAAAGTTGTTAGCTAACATAGGTACATTTTTTAAACGTATTTCTCTTCGTCTACAATAACTCTACAAGTACTGAAAATGTCGTCTGTTTTTACTAATCAGAAGTACCTCAAAAATCGATTGCAAAAAAAGGCGTTTTGCTCTGCGGTCAGTGCAATCAGCAGCTCAGCGAGCTGCCACTGAACGTTACGCCTAAGCCCTGTATGCATGTTCCAGAAGGTTTGAGCGAACGTATTCAAAATAAAAAATTGCTTTTGTTGCAATCAATTTAAAAGATAATTTTAGTCAATAAAAACAAACAGCATATTGAGTACTTGTAGCGTAAATATAGACAAAGAGAGTTAAGTTTATAAAACGTACCTTTATGGGCTAATAACTTTTTTATGGCCATTTTTGGATAGGACCTTTTTTTGGTTTTTGTTGCAATTTGCGCAAAGTTCAAAACTGATAAATCTAAAATATACGCAAAATAACCAAAACATGTTTTACGCTTCTACAAAAAACCAAAGAATCGCACATCGTTAAGTATGTGGTAAAAAAGATGCACAATTTTTAAACTAACAAATTGAGCTGCGTGAAAGACAAATTGATTTAGTCATTTTTTGGTAAATCGCAAAAAAACTGACATTATTAGCCTTCTTTTTGAAATTCAAGAGCTCACGTTCTATGCAATATTGAAAGCTGAAATTTGTTAACAAAATAGATACTATAGTCCTTCACTTTCACACAAAATTTTAGCTCTATTGGTTCTCAATTTCGCACAAACCGCAGCAAAAACCAAAAAAGAGTCTCCTACGAAAATCGCCATAGAAAGGTGTTGTGCCAATTTGGACATATTTCCAAATGTATTTGTCTTCGTCTATATTTGCACTACTCGTACTTAAAATACCGTCTGTTTTTACTAACTAGAAGTATCTTAAAAATTGATTGCAAAAAAAGCACGTTTGTATTTTAAACGTGCTCGCTGAAAACCTTCAGAGCATGCATACAGAATTTGGGCGTGGCCTCCAGTGGTGGCTCACCGAGTCACCGATAACACTGATTGCAGAGCAAAAGGCCGTTTTTTGTAATCAATTTTTAAGATACTTCTTATTAGTAAAAACTGACGGCATTTCTAGTACTCATGGAGTAAATAAAGATGAAGAGAAATACGTTTCAAACATGTACCTATATTGGCTAACAACTTTTTTATGCCGAAAAGTTTAAAACCTATGCAGATAAAGTATTGTATACATGTTAAGGGCTATAATATATTTCTTACAGCCTAATTTCAGCATTTAATATTGTGTAGAAAGCGAGTTTTTGATTGAAGGAAAAATAGCTCAAAATGTCAGTTTTGCGGTGTGCGAAAAAACCGATGAATTGATTGGTCCTTATCATGGCTTGTTTATCAGTTAAAATTTGCACATTCTTTTACCACATACTTTATCATGCGCGATTTTTCAGTTTTCTTGTCGAAGCGAAAAAAATTTTTCGGCCATTTTTGCCGCTTTTTGGGAGGCTTTTGCTGATATTTCTACATGTTAAATTGTGTGTTAATTTTTTTGTCATGCAGTAAAACTACTCCCTTACTTTTTGTGAGATCGTTAGAATTCTTTAGATATTGATATGATTTTCATCTGATTCTACCATACCATAATAGAATAATGGTAAAAATGATGAACTTATATTTGATGCAATGAACAAAAACATGATAGTAGTATACGATGGGTATAAGTACACGGATAACCTAAGACCTTTGTTTAAGAGCAAAGTCTACGAAAAAGAATATAAATTACATTACTTCTTAATGTATAATTTTAACAACATACAACTTAGCAGTATTAACATTAATGGAAATTATTTAGGTACAGTAATATCACAACCATAGAAAAACTTTTTTTCAAATTAATATATCTAAATACCTAATATTTTAAAATTGAAACCTAATAAAAAATGAAAAGTAACCGTTTCTAACAAATTTTTTTTTTAACATTTATAAAAAATACACAGTGTGGATATAAAAATTATTGTTGACAACAAATTTTTTTCGATCAGTTTTGAAAATTCCTTTGATCCGTATTATGTCCATGTCGAGGGAAGGTAGAGATTTGATTATAAGGCATTGGCTGAAATTGCTGATCTATATGTCCTCCTAGAACAAAAAAAAAATTGTTTTTAAAATAAAAAAAATTTTTAATATTAGTTTGATGCATGACGCTTGCTCATATTAACGTATGTTACATATTGTAATTTCTGAAGCTGAATGGATATATTATTTCTGATTTTATACCCTTAAACCAATACTACTTAGACAGATTTAGTAAAATTAGTAAGATCTCTCCAAAAATTAGAAAATTTAAATAAAAAACTAATCATAGAAAGATGAATTGTAAGCTACGAAATTTGACTATGCTGGAATCGAACAATTTTTAAACTTATTACATCTACATGAAAGCTCATGATTAATCAAAAATAACATTTTACAAAAAAAAATACCACCATCTAACATCTAAAAATATTCAGAGAGCTTAAAGAACAAGACAAAAAAAATGGTTTTTATTTTAGCAAACCATATCTTTTGAAGAAAACACGTAAGAGTTGTAAGATCGATATATATAGTATGTAGTTTTTCGTATTGTATGGAGCCTTATAGCAACTGGATATCTGTGAGTTTTAATAAGCTACATTACTATTATTTTAGAATAATATTTCAGTGAAAAAAATCAATTAGTTGAATAATAAGAGTTTTCAGATTATTTATTCGCTATGTATTGTAAGCAAATTGAACATTTTATAGTCAAATCTTATAAAAGTTGACCTTAATGACACTGTGACATTTTTTTAAATAATCGTTTAGCTTTTAGATAAAATTAAATCAAAATTTGTTTTTTGTAATAAACTTCGTGGCTGAAACATGCCTTAGCAAATCAGTGAAACACAATGGCATCACACTCACAATTGACTTTCTAGACTTAAAAGTTATCATTGACAACTACTTTGAATAATTGAAAAAAACTTACAAGTATTTGCCAACAGCACACTGCGTATTCATAAGACTAGCAAGTCATAGCGGTAAAACTATCTCCAACAAAATTTTGCCAACGACTTAGTTTGTCAGGGATGTTACAGAATTGAGCAATGAGCCATGTACGGTTATGATGTTTCTATAATAGTCTCTTTTAACAAGTATGAAGTAATTTCTTTAGGCTTCAAATACCAAGTTTACGCAATAAAATTTTAGGAAAGACAAACAGCGAAGAAGTGCCGTTTAGATGCTTGCTTACAACATATTATGATGTATTGTACTACAAAAAAAAAAACCAACACGGGATTGTAGATACGCAAAAATAGCATCGTATGGCCTTTAAAGTAGATATGTATTTGATAAGTTGTGTATGACGCGTGATGTTTTAAGTGGACTATTATTGTTATCAATCCTTTAACTTGAATGAAACCATGGAAAATAATCATCATCAGTAAGAAACAGATCACAACCAGTGGACAGTGGGCGTTTGGGTACCCAAGTATGGAGTTATACTTCTATAAAATTACATGGTTAACAATATAGTTTTAAGTATATAAATACCTTCTATGAAACAATATTGTGTACGAAGGTGGTGCATCTATCGTGGGAATGAGTATACCTACGTTGATTGGGTGTGATTTTAATTAATATTTAATGAGTTAATGATTATAAACAATGTATGACGGCACAATACTACAAAAATAATACATAGGCTGACCAGTACAAGACTGTGCACTTTCATCGACTCTTCCAGTAATTTTAGAACAACATTCTACTGCCTACGCTAGTTACATCTGTAACGTCACACTCACATCTATCACGTACGATCCCACACTTATTTATCGTCCATATTTAATACCCACAATATAATTGTACATAGAAAACTAAGAAAAATCATCCTGCAGTATAGTTTTCTTCAACAGGGTAGTATTACATGCGAGTGAATGTCCCTTCAGGACGTTCATCACACATCTAGCTATTTTTGACATATATTACTCAAACGTCAAACATATATTAAAATAGCATAAAAAATACCCACGAACATAGTAGCTCGTTTGACTGTACCATTATTTTAAACATAATGCATTTAAAAAAATGGATATTTAACATGTAACAAAAAAATTACATCAAATAGCATTTATATGTTTTGTAGGAATCTCCTATTTTCTTGGGTACAAAAGATTACTTTTAGAAAAACCTATCGAATTTTCAAATAGATCCACAAGTTAAATTTCAAATAAATGTAGAAGGAGGGGATGTGGTGTGCGTGAAAGCATGTACATGAATACATCTACGTAAACAAAAGAATTGCTAGCTTTACTGTACACATCACCGTTCCTGTCATTTCTCTGAACTTTCCTCCAAAAACTACGTGAAGAACGTCCTTAAGTCAAAAAATCACTTTAATCCCGAATGAAAAACTTTTAAAATAATAAAATACATTAAAAATTAATTATTGTATTAGTACAGTACAAAAATATATTTTTGTAATTTTTGAAAATTTTGAAAAAATATAAAAGAATTGTATAAGAAATTATTCATTTATTGTAAAAGTAACAAACTTAATAAGTAGGAATAAATATTTATTAATGAATTAGAAGGGTGCTCTGCTAAAATATACTACTTGCCAAGTTTTTTGAAAAACATTTTAAAAAAAAATTATTTTATTAAGTAAATTGTTAATTTATTTAATTATATAACTAAACCAAATGAATTAATGTACATTGAATGAAAATTTCTATGAAAAATACGTTACTCACTGTAAGATAACATGAAGCAATTGATTTCAACTGTTGGGCCCGCTCATAGCAGAGTAGGTAAGGGCCGTATCCAGAAAGTAAGAAGTCGGGGGTTCAAATCTTTTTTAAAACTATTTTTTTCTTTTTTTTTTTAGAATTGATTAAAAGAAAAAGAACTAAAATTCATAAAACTTAAAATGTGTGGCATGGTGATGTGATGTGGGATCATGTGGTGTAGAGGAAACCGAAAGTACGTCACGAGAGGCAGGGTGAAGGGGGAGATCCACTTCCGTCACACTTTTTCTTAAGGTTAAAATCTGAAATTGTTGGTTTACCCCCGCGCATAACGCACCTATAAAGATGTATAACTTTAGTAAAATTATTATTTTCAGGTAAAAATAATTTAGTACTCAAAACCATTGCATATTACTAATGTGCAAATATGTAGATCCATCTGTATTTCAAAATTTCATGGAAACAAATCATTTTCTACGTACTTATTATATACACTTCACAAATATAATATTTATTTGTTTACATAAAGGTGATTGCTAATAGGCTGAAAGAACAGTATAAAGAAGCCACTTAAGATGATTCTGATGATATCTGATGAACCTGAAACAAGCAGCCAGAGTTAACAGCTAGCCAGGGGTAATTAGGTGGTGTTAAGGGTCTCTATGGCTTAAAAAAATTACGAATTTTAAGGCCAGCCACATCTCAAAATCAGGATTAACAACATGTAATGACTATTTAAACTTAAACAAAAGCCAGCATACTGCAAATCACAAAGTTATAAGCAAATGAAACGAAAAAAGTATCACTTTTCTGTATAAAATCATTAATTTCATAGCCCAGCGTGATCCTAGACACTTGAAAAAAAGCATACTAACTCTTTTATTGGTAATTTATTGGCACATGTTACTGTAAGCACAGGTAAAGAGTTATTTAAAAAACTGTAAATAAGTAAAACAACCAAATATCAATTTTCTGTAAAGAATAAACTGTAACCACGGCCTAGCATGGCCTCAGACGCTTGAAATAAAACATACATACTAGTAAATTGGTAATACATTGGTATATATTATTGGAAACAGGAGTTAAAAGTTATTTAAAAAGTTATAAACCAATTTAATAGGCAAAACATTTACTTTTTGTGAAAAATTTACTGTAACTTGGCCCGGCATAATGGCTCAGACACTTAAAATCCAACGAATATTTTGTTTTAATTAGTAGTCATTGGTATATGTTACAGTACATACGGGTGAAAAGTACTTGCTGAGTTATAAGCAAATTAAGTAGGCGAAATTCTGATTTTCTGTGGAGGAATAGACTGTTACTTGGCCCAGCAAGATCTTATATCCTCAAAATTCAGCATACATTTTCTCACAATAGTTTAATGTTAGCACATGTTATTCACAACACAAGTGAAAAGTTATTAAGAGCTATGAACGTAAAATAAGAAAAATATCGGTTTTCTGTGAAGAATCGACTATAACATGGCCCAGCATAATCTCGGACACTTATAAACCTATTGATTAATAAATAAGTGTTACTTGTTATTGCCAACACAAGTAAAAAGTTACTATTAAAGTTGTAAACGAATTAGATACGCCAAATATCGATTTTCTGTAAAACATCGCCTTTATAAAGCAACTTAAAAACGATGGATTTTAAACAGAAAAGGACAGAACTAGGTTTATTTGGGTGAGTTGAACACTGTCGTGTGTTAACATTGGGTATAAGGACACATACATTTGATACACAACATTTTTTTTTTATACATACATCTCAGTCAGGAGAAACTACAGGCTATAATGTGTGTGTGCGGCTGTGTATCAATCACGAAAGAAAATTTGACTTTTTTGAATCACACTAAGATCCTATTGAGAGTGTAGTGAGTGTATAAAGATTGAGTGAATTTCAAGAATCAAAGTTAAAAAATTTTAACATTGCGTTTAAATTCAACACTGCACGTTTAAAATATTATACTGATCGTTTATAATATATTCAAAAATATGAAATTTTTACCATTGAAAATCATAGAAAGAGATTTCATCTCGAAGAAAAAATGAAGTAGGGAAAAAATTACAATTTTAAAAGGTTCTCTAACGGAAAATAACATTATCAAGGCAGAAGCTTAGAGAAGGTCAGCATGATACAAAAAAATATCCTAAAACTATTTGTGTTTAAATAATACCTTCTAAGGACAGTGTCTTAAACCTTTCTGTTTTAAACAGTTACCTATTATTATCAATAAAAATATTATTTCTTTAACAATTATTATAACTGTTTAATGCATGTCAAAATAAATTGTAGATACAGCGTTGAACTATCATTGAAAGTTCCAGAGACTATCTATCTCTCTATTGTACAAATCACCTCTAACGC